CTGCTGAAGACACGCCCCCTCTGGAGGATGATGAAATGATGCAGGCGGATGGAACGCGCCACTGCAAATTTGGCAAAAACTACTACCAGAATAGCGAACACTGGCACCCGAGAGTCCCGCTGGTGGGAGAAATGAAGTGCATTACCTGCTGGTGTGATGTGAGTTTCTCTCTGCTTTATTTCAAATTTCCTTTTAAGAGCATTCTGAGAATTTAAAACAAGATGCCACAGGGTAACAGATTTCACCATACTTCCCTAGTTTATTGATTACATTAAGAAGTGCTAACATTTTCTGAAATGTACGCAAATGAGGTACTATTTAATTTAATAATCTGAACATTGGATAAAGCCAGGTTAAAAATTTGTTGTTTGAATTTGTTGACATAATAGAGTTAAAGGTTTTTACAGAGGGGATTTTGGATCTCTCTTCTCTTTTTATCACTCCATAAATCAGAAAATACTGACAACAGCCAGGGAAAAAAAATGTCACTATGTTTTTTGGAACAAAATGTTGTATAAATTAGTGTGAATGTTATATGAACAAACCCCTCTATAAAAACCTTCAGAATAAAGAGAGGAATAAAACTCTAAGTTTTGGTGTTTGTAAGTGCGGCTGAAGTGGAGAAAAAACTCAGCACCTTTGAAAACATGCATTTTCACCATGTTTTTAGGAATAAAATGTTGTATAAATCTGTGTGATTGATATATGAACAAACCCCTCAGTAAAAACCTTCAGAATATAGATAGGAATAAAGCTCTAAGTTTTGGTGTATGTAAGTGCTGCTGAAATGGAGAAAAAAAACTCAGCGCCTTTGAAAACATGCATTTTCACCATGTTTTTAGGAATAAAATGTTGTATAAATCTGCGACCAATCAGACGCAACCCTTCAGACTGCTGTAAGGAGTGTCCTGCTGAAGACACGCCCCCTCTGGAGGATGATGAAATGATGCAGGCGGATGGAACGCGCCACTGCAAATTTGGCAAAAACTACTACCAGAATAGCGAACACTGGCACCCGAGAGTCCCGCTGGTGGGAGAAATGAAGTGCATTACCTGCTGGTGTGATGTGAGTTTCTCTCTGCTTTATTTCAAATTTCCTTTTAAGAGCATTCTGAGAATTTAAAACAAGATGCCACAGGGTAACAGATTTCACCATACTTCCCTAGTTTATTGATTACATTAAGAAGTGCTAACATTTTCTGAAATGTACGCAAATGAGGTACTATTTAATTTAATAATCTGAACATTGGATAAAGCCAGGTTAAAAATTTGTTGTTTGAATTTGTTGACATAATAGAGTTAAAGGTTTTTACAGAGGGGATTTTGGATCTCTCTTCTCTTTTTATCACTCCATAAATCAGAAAATACTGACAACAGCCAGGGAAAAAAAATGTCACTATGTTTTTTGGAACAAAATGTTGTATAAATTAGTGTGAATGTTATATGAACAAACCCCTCTATAAAAACCTTCAGAATAAAGAGAGGAATAAAACTCTAAGTTTTGGTGTTTGTAAGTGCGGCTGAAGTGGAGAAAAAACTCAGCACCTTTGAAAACATGCATTTTCACCATGTTTTTAGGAATAAAATGTTGTATAAATCTGTGTGATTGATATATGAACAAACCCCTCAGTAAAAACCTTCAGAATATAGATAGGAATAAAGCTCTAAGTTTTGGTGTATGTAAGTGCTGCTGAAATGGAGAAAAAAAACTCAGCGCCTTTGAAAACATGCATTTTCACCATGTTTTTAGGAATAAAATGTTGTATAAATCTGTGTGATTGATAAATGAACAAACCCCTCAGTAAAAACCTTCAGAATATAGATAGGAATAAAGCTCTAAGTTTTGGTGTATGTAAGTGCTGCTGAAATTGAGAAAAAAAACTCAGCGCCTTTGAAGACATGCATTTTCACCATGTTTTTAGGAATAAAACATTCTGTAAATCTGTGTGAATGATATATGAACAAACCCCTCTACAAAAACCTTCAGAATATTGATAGGAATAAAACTCTAAGTTTTGGTGTATGTAAGTGCTGCTGAAGTGGAGAAACAAACTTTTTAAAGATATATTGATAAAAATAAACACCTAGAAGTGTATTTTGGATGTTTTCTTTCCACTAGTCTGAAACAGCACTTTATGACCAGTGCATAAAAATACAATGTTTTTGCCTGCAGTAATTAATAGCATTATTAACTCAATTTCTCTTGTCATTACAGCATGGCGTCACAAAGTGCCAGAGAAAACAGTGTCCGTTGTTGAGTTGCAGTAACCCCATTCGCAGAGAAGGAAAATGCTGTCCTGAATGCATGGGTAAGTTCTGGTGCTAAACACTGTTTTTTTTTTAACTAAATCCTGCACAATCTACTCAGTACACTTTATGTCTTTGTTTTACAGAGGACTTAATGGAAAAAGAAGAAATGGCAAAAAAGGTGGAGAAAAAGAAAAATTGGAGACACTGATACCTTCTTCCTCAACGTTCATCATCCTCCTGCCTTGAGATCAGGTCGTCTCAAATGCACAACGGGACGCCTGCGGATTGCAAAAACAAGCGATGCATGAAACAGAGGAGAGGTCCAGAGTACAAAGAGATCGAGAACAGTTTGGGAGAAACATGCTCTGAAGATGAAGAAGATATCAAGACAAAAACAGATAATGCATAAAAGGAGAACGAATTTCAGCTGCTGCAATTGTTTGAATTTCCCATAGACTGATTCTCTCATGGGATTGTATGTTTTATTTTTGTTTGCATATTTGACTTGGTGCAAAGTATCCAAGACTCGTACATCATCACACCTGTAAATAATGTGAGTACAATCACATGTTTGTATCACAGTAAAAAAAACCCACAACGCTTTACAACAAATTGCACATGCCGTCATTACAATCCTTAATAATTACACTCAAATCCCAGCCAATCAGCAGGACTGTTGTGATGCATCTGATTGGAGATTTGCCCTGTGGGTGGGGCTTGGATTTGGAGGTGGGGTTTAAAATACTCATCAACATAAACCCGCTCATTTTTGTTGCACCTGATGTTGTTGGTCTGTTTGCTGGTATATAATATTTTATGGCTATTTTCTTTTAGTATTTTGATGGATATTATGAATATTGTTTGTATTTGCATATTTATTAATTATGATGAATAAACAATAAAGTTTTTAAATGTATGTTGTCATTAAAGAAGCATGTTGTCGTTCTTTCTCTTGCAGTGGGATGTCCACTAAAATTAATTTTGACTTCACAGGGTTTCTGCAGGTTTGATGAAGGTAAATTTAAGACTATAAGACCTTTTTAAGACCAAGTACAGAAAATGTAAGGAATAAATAGGACATTTGTATATACAGCATGTAAATGAAATCTACTCATTTTTAGTGCTTCTGATTTACTATTGAATTACTATTGCATTGCTTAAGGATTTTAATTATAATTGCTCTATTTTATTTCTGAGATTACTTAATCAAATTATTTGAATCTACTTAATTTTTTTAGTCACATTTTCTTGATTCTAAAGTATATTTCAATGATTTTACAACTTTAAAATTTACTCAATATTTTTATAGCTGCAGTCCGTAAGTTTTGCCTCTTTGTCGCCATCTCTGTTTGAAACCTGCAATTGCAGCTGCGTGCTGAATTATCTAGCTTGCGTGGGTTGTGCTCCGGCACTGCTCCAGCGCGGATGAATCTAATGTTTTGAGGTGAATGTGTGGGAGTCAGTCACTGCACCGGTGTGGATATTTACTGTACTTCGCACTCACAGATTCTAGCCTACGTCTTGGAATATAACCCAAATAAGAATTTTCACCATATACTGTCATCTGAACAAGTAAGTAACAAGTCTGCCACGTTTGTTCTGACCAACTGAGGAAAAAAGCATTACAATAAATCGCGCTATCAATGGTGATTAAATCTAAAGATCGGTTAGCTCATATCACATCAAACCGTTCAAATTATTATTATTGTTATACTTTATTCTCAAATGATTAACATTAACAACATCAGCATTGGTGACTATGAGTATAGTGTGTATTAGCGTGTAGATTTCAATTTCTGCACAGTCTAATCTAATTGTCATACCATTCGAATTTCATATTAAGATATTCTTTTAACCCAAAAAGCAAATTATGCTCCCTTCGAACTGGTTGTCTTTAAAATACAAATCTTGTGTAATCCCAGGCTGTCTGTAATCAGATGCACTGGAATATAATTTATAATTTCATAAACACATAATCCTTTCTGGATTACAATCCGCCATCAAAATGATACATTTAATTATTCCGGCTGCTGTGAGAAAAGGCTATAAACGATCCGCCAGCTGCAGGATCCTCACATGCGATGTGAGGCAGCAGCATGCTCGAATTTCCCACGAAAACCTACCCGTACCACTCAAATTAGAAAACATTATTATAAGCTAACTGTTGTGAATCAGGCTAAAGTAAGGCGATAGTTTTGAACACTGGCTGGTTATGTACTTGCTTAAAAATTGATTTCGGATCATTTTTAACCAAAAAAAGTTACGGACTGCAGCTTTAAGTGTAAAAAAGTTTCACCAAAAAAATCGAGTAGCTCATAGTAAAGGCTTTTACAGTGATGGTTACATACTCGCTTTGTGTGTTTGGATGTGTTACAGGTGGTTGCAGGAAACGGACGCAGCTGGTAATAAAGTCACACCTGTAGGAACCCCAGACAGCAGACACGGAAGGGTCAAAGGTCAACGGTGAGCTTTGCTCCTGTGCATGTCTGGATGCAAGACATCTGTATGCTGCGAAACATTAAAAACACATCTTTTTATGTTGCTGACCCCAACTGGAAAAGATCCCTATGGAGCGCTGCATTGATGACGTATTTTACATTTAAATTTAGTTATGAAAACATTGTGGTAATTGTTTTGAAATGTTTCCAAAACACTGAAATGTCCAGTTTTCTTGTTGTGATTAGAATGTTATTTAAAGCTTACAAAAATGTTTCTTGTAGCATTCTACTAACTTTATTTTAACAGAAATTATAACATTATTTGAACATTTAGTTGAAATGTTTTCTTGACGTGATTAGAATGTTATTTAAAGGTAACAAAAACCGTTTATTAGAACATTAATCAAGTACTAACATCAAAAGGACATTTTGAGAACTTTTTTTTTTACGTTAGTGTATGTTGTGAGAATGTTTACTGTTAGCTAAATCTTTAATAGGGTTTTTTCCATTGACTTTTAGATTCATGAAGAAAATAAGCTCTGTGACCAACAAACATTTATAATATGCTTGTCCATCATGATAATCTTAAAAAATGAACAACTTTTATGCATTTTGAAGCCAAAATGCAATTGAATATTAACGAACTACAGTATCAATGCACCACTATTGTGCTTCCCAAAACTCTCAGTGTTTATTTTTTTTTAAATCCCCGAAAGTTTGAGTTAAATTCATTTGCAAAAGCGTGATAAACACAACAAGGCTGTGAAAGCAACTAGTGAGTAGATGACATTCGGTTTGATGACGTTTAATGTCTGACAACTTCTCTAGTCCCATTTAGCCATATTTTAATACAAGTAAAAGCAAAGTGTAAAAAAAATCACAAGTGCGTATTACTCATATATTTTATGTTGTAGAATAAAACAGGAACACATCTTGAGCTTTTGTAGAGGCGTTTAAAGGGGTCATATGATGCAATTTCAAGTTTTCCATTCTCTTTGGAGTGTTACAAGCTTTTCGTGAATAGATAAGATCCCTAAAGTTGCAAAGACTAAAGTCTCAAACCTAAAGAGATATTCTTTATAAAAGTTAAGGCTAGTCCACACCCTCCTAAAACGCCTAGTTTAAACACACCCCCACATGTCTATGTCACGATGTGGGATTTGCATAACGCCGCCCAAATGTTCACGCAAAGAAAGAAGGCGTAACTTTTATTCTCGCTGTAGTATTGTTGCCGCCGCCGCCATGTCCCAAAAACCCATTCAAAAAGCCCACTGACTTCAAAGCCAATGGAAGCGGGAGAGCTAAAATGCTAATTTCTGGGTTTTGGCCTACAAAAATAGATACTCTACTACAACAAACCCTACAAAGCACTCTCTGTTTTCCCAGCAGCACTTCTGGGGGACGATGAAGCAAATCATTTTTTTTAAATTTTATTCTAAATTCCAATCTGGCCAGACTGCGGTTCGGACCTGGATCGCGACACGCAAGGTTCCCCCCAACAGCCTCATCTTCCTTCTGCTCCCACTTTTGTTTTACAACTTTCCCCTCTGATTAACCGCAGCGGGTTAATACGCCGGTCACTGGCCCGTCTTTCCACGGCAAATTAATGTTTCTCATCGAGGAACCAGATTGGATCAGTTTTCTCAGACTCGCTCGGACTCATTCCAGTTGTCTGACTTAATTTCTGCGTCTTCTGTGTCAAACGGCGAAAACTCGAGGGAACATGAAAGAAGCTGGACGCTTATTTTCCACCAGTCTCTGGATAAAAGCAGCTAATCAGTTTTTACATCTGCAATCTCAGTGTTTTTCCATCCACTGTTGTTCATCTAAAAATAACACTAAAGCCATTGGGTTATTTGGTAGATTAACAACAGGCCAACATACTTTACAATCAGTTCTGTTCACTGATATTTTAGTTTTATGCATCCCATGGCATGGTGTATTCATAAAACATGCATGCATTTGATCTTTGCTCAAGAGTTTAGTACTATACTATACTAATATTAGTTTCTCCTATGACTTTACTATTGTCCTTTTGCATTATCGGCAAACTACTTTCCAATTTAATACTGTAAAGCTGCTTTGACCCGATCTGTATTGTTAAAACCGCTATATAAATAAAGGTGACTTGGCTTGCCATCTTGTGTTCGAGCGAGTAACTATTTTCATTTCAAACACTTGTGCAAGAACCACAGACAAAGAGATGACGTTAAAGCCAAGTCTGGAAATGCACAACCATAAAATGCTAAAAACATTTCTGGCACGTGCATAGCATAAATATGCACCTTTATTACATCGCATTTAGTCTAAACTCCACCTGATGTCTCATACTATGAGCACATTCTTATAAAAGCATTGGTGCATTTACAGTTTCAACATTAAATATGGATTATGGAATATTTCAGTTCATGGAAATGGACAGATTTGACACTTCTAGTAAAATGTGAAATGTTATGATACTGCAAAAATGGGAAGAAAGCAAGGCGTCTTGAAATCCAAGAGCATATGCATTTCTGGCCTGTGCATTGCATGAATATAAATAGTAAAATCCAGTCTATTTCTTGTATAGATTACATAAAAATGGCGATTAGTTTACCACTTGTGTCCTTCAATATGTCAAAAAAGCTTTATTTTATTAACGTTTTTGCCTGCTTTAGCGTGTTGTCCATTATGTATTTTGAATTAGTAGAGATTTGAGGATGACTAGTTCAATGTAGATCAAGCATTGATCTTTTATGAATCATTGGTTTGAACCAATACTTTTAAACATCTTCGTATCAAACAAGAAGGTCTATAATAAATACAAAGGAATACAGTCCTGTTAATCTCAATGCCAGTTGCTTCAGAACACTCCAGAAACAATGGAAACGTACCTCTAAAACAGCTGTGATTGTTTTGTTCTTTTCTTTCGTTTGCACTTCTCATGAGTTTATGTCCCTGGAAAACAGCTGAAGTGTGTGTTGTTATAATAACAACAAGAGCTAAATGTATACCCAAAGTAATAACAGTGATAATGCAGCATTCTTCCAAGATTACTGCAGAAGAAACCTGGAAATGTTTCTGTTTTTATAAAAATATCACACCAGCAATCCATTCTTTGAAATAATACATCAATAAATAAGTCATCACAAGCAGCTTTACATAATCACTATGACTCATGACTAACTTTACTTGTGCTTTGCAACGACGTAATCCAGATAATGTGTCTGGTTTAGATCAGGGTTTCTCAAAATAGGGATGAAAAGTCACTTTGGATAAAAGTGTCTGATAAATGCATAAATGTAAATGTAAAAAGCGAAAAGAAAAATAATTAAATCACAAAAATGTAAAACTAAAATAAACAAATTTACAATATTTTTTATTTTATAATATAAATAATTTTTTATACAAATATTTTAGAATTTTTGTTATTACTTTACAATAAATCATGTTAAATACAAACAATTAAAAAAGATTTTAAAAATGTTACTGAATATTTATAATATTTTTATTATTTTATAATAAATCACGATAAATACAAACAATTAATAAAAAATAAATATATTTGACTAAAAATATACTAATACTAAAGAGTTCTAAAATATTTGATTTATCTGCATGTCACGTGAAAAATTATCATATTTTTTATTATTTTATAATAAATCAAATGAAATACAAACAATTAAAAAATATATTATATTTTACTAAAACATACTAATACTAAAAAATAATTTAAATTTTTGTTTTTCTGCATATCGTTATATTTTCATTTTTTAATAAATCAAGTTAAATACAAACAATTAATAAAAAATAAATGTATATTTTTTTAAAAAGTATATTTTACTAGAAATATAGTAATACTAAAAATGTAAAAAAAATTATTTGCTTATCTGCATGTCATGCGTACATCCACTGCCATCGCTGAACCGTGAACATGCACATAAGTGGTTAAATAATTGAAATATTATACAGTGTTTGCTTTCTAAAGATATCTTGCCTCATAAGCACTCATCATGAGGAACCTCATGAGGACCTGAGGAACTGTACTTTTCACTCCTACAGACTGTTGACCATCAAAACAACTTCCACTTTGAGCTAAAATCAGTATATAAATAAAAGCTTGAGCACGTGTTTACCTCTAAACAGTGATTTGTAAAAACAGACGGATCCGAGTGATAAAAGTGAAGTGTTTATGCACTTGATGCATCACAGACACTGGGCAAATTCTCATGAGCTCCTTTGTGCATTTATAATTTAATCGCAAAATTCGATTCAGTTCACGGAAAAGGACAGATTTGACTGTTCTGGCACTGTCTAAACTGAAAAATCATTTTCAATATTTACCTACAGAAATCTATAACTTACTTTAACTCTTTTCTATTTAAAGTTCACCGCAGACGTTCGTGAGAGTTGAATGATTCATCAATAGAATAGACAGTTTGTTTCTACATAAATGTAGCCAATCATAATATTAGAAATGAACTGTTTTGATGAATTACTGTTTTCGTGATTGATCATTTCTGAGTACTCAGGTACTCAGGTACTCAGGTACTCGTGTTCATCTCTAGGGTGGAGTTTCTCGCTATAATTCCCGCCTCATGTTTAGCTGAACACAAACTTCTTCCACTTATAAAAACTCACAAACGCTGTCACACACCTGACCGACGCTCGCGTGTGTTTGTGACGTGTGTAGCGACCAACAATCAGTCCAATCCTGTGTGTGTGTGTGTGTGTGTGTGTGATCGTAATCATGGCTGTGGACGGTACAGACGAGAATAATTTGGTAAGTGTTTCTCTATTTTTCTGCGTTTTCCCTGCTGGTAGATCCTGGAATTACATCTGATTGTGGTTTGGATGCATAGGAATGATAGCTTTTTCCACGCGTTATACAGAGAGCAGGGTAATTATAGTTAACCAGAAGTAAAACTAAAGCCATAAAAATATTGTTGTTACTTGAAATGAAATAAATACTACATAAGATAAAAATAAATATATATTAAAAAAACTTTAATTTGAATTCGGCTCATTTTCAGTTAGGTGAACTTCAAATTGAACATAAAAAGCCATATTTAAAGATAATAATAATAATAATAATAATAATAATAATAATAATAATAATAATAATAATAATAATAATAATAATAATAATAATAATAATAATAATAATAATAATAATAATAATAATAATAATAATAATAATAATAATAATAATAATAATAATAATAATAATAATAATAATAATAATAATAATAATAATAATAATAATAATAATAATAATAATAATAATAATAATAATAATGAAAGAAAACCCCACTAAAATAAAAAAAAAATGTGTTACTTGAAATTAAATAAATACTACATAAGATTAAAACAAATAAAAAATAAAAAACTAAATTAAATTTAATTCGGCTCATTTTCACTTAGTTTAACTCGTACTAAAATAACTAAAATTGAACATAAAAAAGCCATATTTAAAGATAATAATAATAACAATGAAAAAAAAAACCACTAAAACTAAAATTTTTGTTACTTGAAATTAAATACAAACTGCATAAGATAAAATAAAAAAATAAATTAAAAAAAACTAAATTAATTTTAATTCGGCTCATTTTCAGTTAGTTTAACTTGTACTAAAATATATAAAATTGAACATAAAAAGACATATTTAAAGATAATAATAATAATAATAATGAAATAAAACACTAAAACTAAAAAATGTGTTACTTGAAATTAAATAAATACTACATAAGATTAAAAAAAAAACTAAATAAATTTTAATTCGGCTCATTTTCACTTAGTTTAACTTGTACTAATATAACTAAAATTGAACATAGACATATTTAAAGATAATTATAATAATAACAATTAAAAAAAACACTAAAACAAAAAATTACTCACATTATAACAGAAAATAAAATAAAAATAGAAAATAGAAAAATTAAAAATAATACACAGTATCTCATTAATACTAAAATAACACTAGTCTGATTAAATGAAGGATACTTTCACAAAGAGTAATAATAATAATGTGCAAGAAAAAAGAAATGGTGATAAATACAAAAGCAGCAGCAGAAACAGAAGTGTCTTTAATACACTAACATTTAAATAAGGACACTGAAAATGGTTAAAGCTATTATGCTTGTATGTTTCATTAAAGTAAATTAAAAGGAGTTAATATTATTAACAACTACATTTATACAACGTGTACATACTTGTTACTGGTGCACTTCTGTTATTGTTTCTGAATTAAAATAAAAATAGATGATACTGCTCAGCCAGTAATAATATCAAACAAATAAATAATCAGCATCAAATAAACACATAAATGTGCTTTGAATGTAAAACAAGATGCGTGCTTTTATAATTTAGCTATAGCAGCCTAACCAATAAAACTAGCAAAGTCAGTAATTAAATGAATATAAAGAAAATAATTACAATTAACAGGACATAAATGTAATAGAAATACAAACGAAATGCACAGTGCTTGTAAGAACTACAGAAATTGAATAAAGTATCAAGTGTAAAATTAAAACCTGTTTAGTCGTAACTGTATGAATTAAACTTAGCGAGTGATTTTCGTAAGTGTGAGTATTAAATACTATGTTACGTACATAACGTAACGTAACAATTCTGGAAACGGTTTCTGAAACGGGTAAAACTACAACTAAAAAAGAAGCTGTGCTTCAAAGGGTTTTTTAGGTTGGTGAGTTCCTCAGTTAGGCCTATAGAATGGGAACAAACTTCACCACATAAGTGAGGTAAATCTGACAAAACATCCACAGTTTCAGCGAAAAGTACTAGTGATGCAAAGTCCGATTCATTTCCGCGAACCGGTTCTTTTCGGACAGATCGGCTCACTGAACCTGTTCAAAAAGCCGATTAATCGGTTCCTGACGTCATCAAGCAATAGCGTCTCTACGCATTTCTTTTCTCACAACCCCAATATTTAAGGTATTTTTAGTGGAATTTGATTGTTTTATATCTCCTCTGAAATTGTTAAAAAACAAAAAGTCATTAACATGTTTAAAATATGACATTACTTTCAGTTCCCCGTTACTAATTAATGGCACACTTTGTATAGCACTGACTGTCTTATGCTATGCTCTGTTTGTTATTTGTTCTATTTTCATTAATAA